ACAAACCTCATCAGGAGCAGCAGGGTAAAAGAGAGAAATGGTCCCAGTGTGGCTCTGGAGTCTCCAGATTGTTGGAAAACGCGCCGCTCCGTCTCCTGATGTGCAGTGCCAAGCACTAATATGCCCTAAGGTTAATGAGGCACTCTCCATAAATTCTTCAGCCATCTGGATGTATTGAGTCTAGACGCTTATAGAGCAGCACTGCACTTACAGGGATGTGAACTGCACTTTAAAAAAAAAAAGGCAAATAGATGTTGTTTTGTGCGATGGAACAACAACGTAGTTTCATTTTGTTTGAACTTGGAAAAATAAAAATCAGGGTCCATCTCTGCAGAACAGYCGAACATGATTGATGTGATCTGTCTTTGCTGCCCTCCCTCTCAGAGCTGAGTTACAAATAATTCACTTTAGATTTGCCCCTCCTGAAGGAGACCCCCCCCCCACTCCTCATTTCCCTCATCCTGTTCCCTCACAGTAAAGAGGAGCAAATGTCCGAGCACTCTTCTGTTTAATTCAGTTTCCAGTTGATCTGCCTGAGTCATCAGGGAGGGATGAGTGAACAGAGCAGAGTCCATGTCTTCTTCTCCTTGCTGCTGCTGCTGCGATGTGGACAGAACAGTGTTCAAATGCCTCATCTCCAGCTGAAGCTACCATCATGTGTAGATTCATCAGCTGCAACCTGCAATTAAGTCGAGGAGTAAAGCTGCTATCAGAGCGGCGACATGTTTCAACCGGTGAATCTCATGTTTTTCACAGCAGAGTTGTGCCAAACTTAAAAAATCTTTTAAAAATACGACACGCTTTGACTTTAATTTCTGCTCTTTGGATTCAGCAGGAGCTCACGTGTCCGTCGGCTGAATGTGGAGTTTGAGGCCTGAGTGAGTTCACGTCAGCAGGAGGCTGTGTGAGTGTGGCTACGTTTTTGTTACCTGGTGGGGATGATTTTTGAACATTTTCCCGGTACACACAGCCTTGTGAGGACCCACTGATCCTCATGGGGACAAAAGCTTGGTCCTCATTGGGGGGAAATACGGTTGGTGGGTCAGGGGTTAGGACTAAAGTGTGCTTTTAGGGTAAGGGGTTAGGCTATAGAAACGACTGGAATATAAATGGAAGTCAATGCAAAGTCCCCACGAGTATAGAAGAACAAAACGTGTGTGTGTGTGTGTGTGTGTGTGTGTGTGTGTGTGTGTGTG